TTTTAAAATGTAATTTATTCATGTGATCAAAGCAGAATTTTCAGCATCATTACTCCAGTCTTCAGTGTCACATGATCCTTCAGAATTCATTCTAATATGCTGACTTTCTGATCAAGAAACATTTCTGATTATTATCAGTGTTGAAACAGTTGTGCTGCTTCACATTTTTGTAGACACTGTGATACTTTTTTCAGGATTCTTTGATAAATATAAAGTTCAAAAGAACAGCGCTTATTTAAAATTGTGTAACATTTTAAATGTCTTTACTATCACTTTTGATCAATTCAATGCATTCTTGCTGAATAGAAGTATTAATTTCTTTAAAAATATATATCTTACTGACCCCAAACCTTTGTCAAAACTTTCATGTAGTTTTCTAACTATGGACATGTTCCACTAATGCTTCACAAGCACAAAGTGTCATAATATTTTTCATCTTTCAAGCTTTTCAAATCTAACAAACTTGAAAAGTGTGTTTGTTCTGTCTTTCTTTTAAAATAAATGCACATGATTTGATGTTTTGACATTCAGATATCATGTGTTACTTAAGCATCCAAATATTTTTAGGGCAACGTGTTTTTTCATGCATCCATATCTGTTAAGTTTTCAAGTATGTTTTTACTGAGTATCTCAACACATGGCTGGGCAGTTGTGAGTGTTTTGTACAACTTTTCCCAGCTTTCCATGGTTCCTGTCACACCATGCTGGGTAAGATGGCAGCTGGTGGGTGGTATGGGTAGGGCAGGCTGGCGTGGCTGTGGAAGGCAGCGGTGGGCGGCAGTGAATGGGAAGAGTGGCTGTAGATGCCCAGAGCTCCTGGACTCTGAGAATACAAGTCGAAATGCTGATCAGATGAAGGATTGTTTGAAAAATATAGATTCTCCTCTGTGGCGCTAAACTTCTTCCCTTTCCTGTTCTTGCTGGACACCTTACGGTTGCGCGTCTGGATGCCTTTCTTCTTCATAGCAAGCGGTCTGTTCACCTGATGAAAGGGATTGAAGTATTAGACGCAGAACTACAGTTAGAGCTGCTGTGTGTAATTTCTAGCCAAATGGAATTGCATAAATAATGATCATCTGGTTGAAATTCGCCAAAACTACTTTACGGTGTAGAGTAAGTCAGAAGTTGACTGAAAGTGTTGCAGAGCTACAGGGAGGAAATGACTATGAATTATTTGTTTTTGTTTTGCTTTGCTCACAATACACATAACGAATTCATGCAAATCAGGTAACGGCACAAACGCAGGCAACAATTTGGTGCTAGATGCAAAACAATAATGTACAGTATGTGGAAAATAATGTGTTTTTTGAACCTTAAACCGCATAAACACATTTCATTACACCAAATACACAAAATAATGTTCTTTTAGCAGCATCATATGACCCCTTTAATTAAAAAGTCAAGTGAAATGAGTGAAGTTGCTCACATTGTGAAGCTTGAAATAGAGTCCGCAAGCGTTACACACGGGCTCTCCGCCGGCGTTGCGTCTCCACAGCGTGGTGGTGCTGGTCTGACAGTTCGCACATTGAGTTCCTGTTCGCTTACTGATGACCTACAGAGAGAGAAATATCATATAGCAGAAAGTCTATAAATCATATATAGACTACTGTTTAAACGTTTGAGGTCAGTAAGACTTGTTTTTTTCAAAAGAAATCAATACTTTTATTCAGCAGGGATGCATTAAATTGATCAAAAGTGACAGTAAAGACAATTATATTACTGCAAAAGGTATTTGAAATAAATGCTGTCCTTTTGAACTTACTTCCACAAAAACATTAAGCAGCACAACTGTTTTTAACATAGCAAATCAGCATATTAGAATGATTTCTGAAGGATCATGTGACACTGAAGACTGGAGTAATGATGCTGAAAATTCAGCTTTTTAAATACATTTTAAAATACATTCAAATAGAAAAGTGTTGTTCACTGTTTTTACAGTATTTTTGATCAAATAAATGCAGCCTTGATGAGCAGAGACTTTTTTTTTTTTTTTTTTAAGTTCGTTGTCTTTATCAGTGAATTGAGAATAAGTGAGATGTACCAGTCTCTTTTTGGGTCGGATGAGGGGTCTGTTCTGTCTGTTCATCTTTTGGTACAGACCGCAGGCATTGCAGAGGTAGTGTCCCGTTCCATCACGCCGCCACAGAGGGGTTGCAGTGGCCCCACAGTTTACACACTCACGCGGCTCTGTCACCACAAAAGATCATAAATAATGTTTACATTGCACATCATTGCCCAGCTTTATCAGAAATACACAATGAAACGCACTCTTAAAAATAAAGATTTCAATTAGGGCATTTACAGACTGATGTCCTATGAGAACTTTTATTCTTTTGTTTTTTAGAAAACCATTTATGTGCTGGTGATTTTTATACAATTCAGAAACCAATGTGCTGATCTGCAGAACCTTTAGAGTAACATCAAAGACCCATATAGTAGCTAAACCAAAAGTACTGCAAAGAACCACTGAAGAACATTCAAATTTAAGATTGTATAGACTTTAAAAAAAGATCGTAATTTTCACAGTAAAAGAAAAATACTAGGGTAAAAACATATTAGTTGGTTAACAATAAGTTCCCTTATTCTATACTGTGAAACTGTATCTAAAGAAACTTCATGTAATTTTACAGTAAAATGTTCCGTTTTTGGAAGAGAAAAGAATGTCATCTTATAATTTACAGTTAAAAACTGTAAACTGAAATTCCCAGAATTCCCTGTGACAACTCACATTTGATGGTTTTTCATTGATTCATTCATCTTAGTTTGTTATTGCCAGTTATGTACATTAGGGTTTTATGCTACATGTTAATTCATATTTATTGCATTATTTTAGTGTATTATGTGTATTAGTATTTACCACAGCTTGTGGAAAAGCTACTTGTGATGAACTTAAAATTAAATTAACATGACTTAACATTTTTAATAAAACACCAAAGTTTATTATTATTAATTGTTTTAAATGATGGGATTGGAATATTGTAATTGTTCTACACTTTGTGTTGTTTGTTTTTGATATTATAACAAAATGTATTAAAAATAGAAATACAAAAAAAGACCAGAATGGCTCGAGTTAATGGATCACAACATGAAAGGTTTGACTCTAGAACTGTTTAACTTCACTGCAGAAAAAAGATTGCATTTTTGTTTTTTCTAATACAAATATCTAAACATTCTTAAATCAAGATACATTTAATTGAGAAGAAAAATGACATAACATATTAAGTCATTTTCCCCAAAAAATAAAAAATTAAGTTTTGGCTTAAATAAAAAATTTTTTTTTTTCCATTTTTCTGACCCCATTGACAGATATTTTTTTCTTGTTTTAAGCAAAAACCCAGTTAATTTTGATAATTTTATCAGAAAACAAAACTTAATAATGTAAGTCATTTTGCTTCTCAAGTAAATCTATCTTGATTTAAGAATGTTTAGATATTTGTACTGGAAAACGAGACAAAAATATAGAGTAAGAAAATCGCTTTTTGCCACCCCACATTATCCGCCTGTTATGATACTTCCTCACCTAAAGGAGAGAATTTCATCTTGCTGCATAAGTTGGGTGAGAAGGACGAGGGTGTGTAGAGAAGCGAACTGCTGTAGTCCTGCGTGAAGCTCCCGTAAGGACTGTAGTGGCTCAGTGACTGCGAGTGTGTTTTCGAGGAGTGTGTCTGCGCATACACACTGCTCACTGAGGGGGAAAACACACCGCCAAACGACTCCCCACCTCCAGGAGGACTCGGCCTCTCTCCTTTCATGCTATCCTGCACAATGAGGGTGTCCTTTTGGTCCTGGATAAGGGAGGGAAGGGCAGAATGAGGCGGTCTGGCAGAGGAGAGGGACGTGGAGCCGTGGAAGGATGAGGAAAACACACTGCTGTGCCAGGAGGATGGGGATGATGGGAAGAGGTTGGTTAGGGAGGGGCCACTCGAACTTTCCAGCCAGGACAGGTTTCCCAGGAATGGAGAGGAGTAAACGGGATATACTGAGGGAGAGAAGGAGGAAGGAAGGAAGCTCAAAGAAAGAAACTGAAATCAGGGAAAGTCTGTTAATGCTGCTCCATTGGGCGGCTCAAGTAAAAAGAGCATGTTGATAGCACCACAGAGACATATATATTTTTTATAGTATTTATATATATATTTTTAAAAGTTTCAACTTTCATTCAATTACTTTTCTGCATATTAAACTGGGATATGAGAAAGTATTTGGACATCAAAAGTATTATTTTACTTCTGTAAAGTAAACATGCTCTAATAAAATTCTTCTTATAATTTAATTTAGACCTTCAAAGGACAAATCCTGACTCTTTCCTCTGATAAAAGAAAGATTTTTGTACATCTTATTGAGTAATCGAGACAATTTAATCATTTTTTTAGTCAACTTTTATTCATAACATTAATGACATTTGGGAGATTTGTCCTTGAGACATAACACAGTCTTTAACAATACATTTGAAATATAACCATTACTGAAGACGTCAAAATCACTCATTTTATGGCTAGATAGTCCCATACTTTCACTTACATATAGTTTCTCTGTACTAGTGGGTTCTTTTTATATGCTTTTTTTTCTTTATAGGACAGCACAGTACATTTTGGACATGTTAATACTATGGCACTGTTCTTTAAAGTACCAAGAAAATGTAATAGCATATGAATATGGGAATTGTTCAGTACAGTATACACTACTATTTGATTAAATAAATGCAGCCTCGGTGAGCAGAAGAGACTTCTTTCAAAAACATTTAAAAATCTTACCGACCTCAAGCTTGTGAATGGTAGGTAGTGTATATCAAAGTAACGTGTGACACTGCCATAATACTTTCTTGACAGTGTGCTGTGTCCTGTACGTGCAGCACTGACCTGAGCTGGTTTGAAAAGCTCCAGATGGACGGCCATTGACAGGGCTGCTGAACAAAGAGGGCAGGCTGCTGTGATCTGCATCGGTGTAGGGGTACACTGAACCCTCCTCAGTGTGGACCATATAGCTGGAGTCAGGTGGGTAAGTGGGCATCACCTCTGATGATACCATGGAGGAGGAAACCCAGCGAGCCTGTTCAGCGGAGGTCTCCATGTCTGTCAGGAACTCCTTTTGTACCGCGTGAAAAAGGAAATTTAATGCACATGGAAAATGTCACATACATTTTTTTTCCCCCCTGAAGTAGCATGTTAAAGTGTAGTGCATTGAGGGAAAACCTCCTAATTATGCATAATTCTGTCAGTAAGAACAAGAAGAATATTTTGCACTGAGTGTATCAGTTACAATCCAAGCTATTATGTAATCGTTTCAATAACTGCAGTAGAATATCTTCTGTTAAAAGCTGAACCACATAAAAATACATTTCAGAAATACATTCTGAATATGTTTGGAAACCAAGCTGCAATCGCAGTAACATTTATTCTATGTACACAAGACCATATTTACATTCCAAATCACATTTAACACAAAACCCGTACTTTCACATAGCAAACAAACCCTTCTATCTTTAGCACAGATCTTAAAATAAATGATACTGATTTGAAGTGCACAAGACAAATCACAACAGCAGTGACAGTGTCACCTGTCAGAAATTACACTTAGAATCAAATGACTCTAAAAACGAGATAAGCATCACTTGCATTGTTTGATTTGCTAATGCAGCTGTAGATATGGTAATGTAGATCTGACTGTAATGTGGCATACCTGAGCTTATCTGTTCAGTCTTCAGGACAGGTGTCTGTGACGAAGATGAGCACCGCTGATGGCTCAGAACTTTATGTGTGAAGACTTCTGTGCTCTGAGTGATTGAGGTTAGACATGTGGGGACAGTGGGCGGAGCCACAGACAGGTCAGCTTCAGCAAATGGGGTGTCTCGTAAGTGCAAATGCACAAAAAAAGTCTGGAAATATGCCACATCAGTCTGCACTGCAAATGAGAATTTCAAATATGCAAAGCCAACCAAATCAAATACTCAGATCTGCTAAAACACACAGAAAGGTTTCTATGTGGAAGTTGAACCGAATGCATCAAGAACATTTGAGTAAATTCTCAAATATTAGCTTTAAACTATTTTACAATTATACTTAAAGTATAAAGACATACAAAGCGCAATATAAAGAAATAACCAAACTTAAAATATGAAAATCATTTACTCACATCTACATCATTTACTCACCCTCATGTCATTCCAAACCTGTACGACTTTCTTTTGTGGAGCACAAAAGAAGACATTTCGAAGAACGTTGGGATACAAACAACTTTGGACCCCATTGACTTTCACTGTATGGACAAGAAAAAAAAAATTACTGGAGACATTTTTCAAAATATATTTTGTGTTCCACAGAAGAAAGAAAAACATACAGGTTTGGAACTATGTAAGAATGAGCAAATATTTATTTTTGCGTGAACCATCCCTTTAACGAAACTTGCTATAAATTCTATGAATTATAAACAACGTAAAAAAAAAAAGAACAAATAAATAAAAATCTTGATAAAAGCCAAACCACCAATGGAACAAAAGGGAAAGTGGAGCCAATAAAAGATGCAAAGTGCAGCTTAATATGTAACACAAGAGGACAGTTGAGCTGATTGCACGAATGCAAATAGAGACAAATGTTGAAATCATTCTAAAGACGTCTAGCTTCACCACATGCACACAGAGCGGGGCTGTGGAAGTCATTTGTTAATCAAAGCGTACCGTTTTCTTTCCTTTTGTTTGTTCAGTCTGAAGGGAAATTATAGAGTGTCTGTCATTTAGCTAATGCAATGTAAAGTATAACAGGCTACAACAGAATAAAAAGTCCTTGTTTGGAGTTTATTTGCCTGAAATATCGTGTCCATGTTAATTTAACAGATTCATTTAAGTTACACTATTTGCTTCCACCTCTGACGGAGAGGTTCTGTGATGTATTTTCACAAGAGATTCACAACTATGACTGCGTTAGTGGTTAAAGTAATAAAGTAATGTAAAAACAGATATAAATCAAGGACAGAACTGCTTTACGCACTATTAATAGAAACTAGTCTTTGCATGTTCAGTGATAAGCCTAGCTTCCTTCACAGCTTTTCAACAATGTAATGATCATTTGAAAGGTAGAACGTTTCCCTGTTATTATTAATTATATAACAGGGGATGTACACTACTGTTCAGAAGTTGGTAAGATTATTTTTATGTTTTTGAAAAAAGTCTCTTCTGCTCACCAAGGCTGCATTTATTTGATCAAAAACCAGTACAAACAGTAAAGTTGTAAAATGTTATTACTATTTAAAATAACCGTTTTCTATTTGAACAATTTTAAAATGTCATTTATTCCTGTGATGCAAAGCTGAATTTTCAGCATCATAACTCCAGTCTTCAGTGTCACATGATCCTTCAGAAATCATTCTAATATGCAGATTTGCTGTTTAGGAAACATTTCTTATAATTAGCAATGTTGAAAACAGTTGTGCTGCTTTATATTACACTTGTTTCAGTCCAAAACAACAGCATTTATCTGAAATAGAAATCTTTTGTAACATTATAAATGTCTTCAATGTCACTTCCGATCAATTTAATGCACCCTTACTGAAAAAAAAGCATTAATTTCTTTGAAAAAAAAAAAAAAAAGATCTTACTGACCCCAAATGTTTGAACAGTAGCGTATGATTCAAAACTAGTTACCTGGTGACTTGTTCTTTGGTGCAAAAACCTGGTGCTGTGAAGAGTGTTGGCACTAAACTGCATGACCAAACCTGTTCTGGTGCATTTATCACCGTATAAAGTTACGACTAACTGAATAAAACCAATATCAGTTAATTTCCACCAGCTGGTGTGAAACGACAAGGTTAATGGTTGTTGAGCAAAAAAGGAAGAATTGTGGGGTGGGGGCATCCATTGGCATTTTACAATTCCTCTGAAGTGGGGTAAGTAAAACAGCTTGAGATGATATCAAGTCAAATAGGCTACTCCTCTAGTATGTGTACTGTAAACTGTAGCACGTAAATTGAAATGGATATATTTATATACAAAAACAGCTAGGCTACGTTCACACTGTCAGTTTTTTGGATTGACAACCGCATTTACTCACAGGTGTGAGTCTCGAAATGTCACGTTCACACAGCAGCCTGCAGTAGCTTCTCGAATACTGTCTGTATGAACGTGCAATGAGAGTCAAGCCCGTATTTATTACCGGTAACCATAGCAACAGTGACCAAAGTAATATCAAAGATGGCAACGTCCACAAAACTTAAAAGTCTTATCACTTTCTGACATGACAAGAATCCAATCAAGTCGCGAGTTCATCTGTCAAACCTTCATTAACCGACAGCAGATTTTATATTTTGGGTGGGGAGTGTTATTATATGTGTATTAACTGTTCCCTCCTGGTGGAATGACCTGCCCAAATCAATTCATTTGCACTTATATATTGTTGCTCTTTTGTTAGTTTTGACTGCTTTTATTGTCCTCATTTGTAAGTCGCTTTGGATAAAAGCGTCTGCTAAATGACTAAATGTAAATGTAAATGTAAATGTAATGAAGTATTTGAGTCACGCGCAGAACACAAATCTGACGGGAGTGGTTCCGGTGGAGAAAAACTGACTGGATCGAAAACTTTCACAGCTCATTTCTCCGTCACTGTAAGTTACTGAAACCACATATGAAAACACGCAACACACGGTAGACACGCGTTAGTGCGGCAGAGCGACTCTCTCTCGCACTGTCTGACGTGACAGACAACTAGTTGTCCAATCCGGTTCCGTTCACACAGCGCGTTTTCCGAGAATGCGGTTGTGAGTCCTGAAAATTTAGGAGTGCGAGTTCGGTTACAGAATGCGGTTGTCACGCCTAAAAATATCCATACTGTGTGTGAACATTAACCGTGTTAAGGACTCAAAAACAGGACTGACAAACGTATTCTGCTGCTGTGCGTTAAATAGTGAACTAGTTAATAAAAGTCTATTCAGCAAAACTGAACATTATATAGCATATCCCTGTATAATAGAGCATTATAATAAATAATTTGCACATTTATTTATTTTTTCATCCTCAAGAAATGACAAACCACACTTTGGTAAATCATAACGACAAAAAATCATAATTATGACAAATGTTTTGTCTTTTTGTCATAATAACGACTTTTTATGTAAATATTTTATATTTAATCACATATCACAGAAAATCTAGACGTGCCATTTGAGAGTTCACTAAAAGTATGTTCAGGAAAACTGAAACATATAGCCTATTTCCTGTACAACAGAGCATATAACATATAATTACTTTTTTTTTTTTTATTGTCCTTAAAAATGAATAAATGTGCATGACTTAATGGGCCACTTCCTGGTGTGAAATAAAGTACAAAGCCCTACATTTATGCTCATACCGCTGTCACAAAAAACTCTGCGCATGTCTCTGGATCAGACTGGGGTCCACCAAGCTCTCGTGTAAAGGTTGATCCACTGTGAATTCATAAGGAGGTTGCATGCGCTGTCTGGAGTGCTTTCCTCCATGCTGAGGGATGGGCAGCTCTGAGTGATGAGCCGGGAGAGGGTCCGTGAAGAAATACGGATGGAGCAAAGCCTGAGGAGAGAGACGGGGCACTATGAGTGTCACTGGAGTTACACGACTAAATGAACCTGTACAGAACTTCAAATGTGCACCTGTCTAGCACTGATCCTCTGTTTGGATGGATAGACGAGGAACTTCTTCAGCAGGTCCACAGCTTGTGGTGACGTGTCAGGCACGATCTCCTCCAAAGGAATGGGGGGGTTTTCTTTAAACGTGATTTTATTGTAGTCTGGTAGTTCTGTTATTTCCTAGATTGGATCAACAAGACATAGGTGAAATATTCACCCATAGTTCACCCATTGTGTGTCAAAACTGTTATGATGAACGGGGCATAGTGAATGCAAATGAGAGCTCACTGGCCAAACTTTCTGGTTGGGAGTTCCCAGCACTCGTAAAACACAGCACAACTGCTCAATGTCATTCTCTCCAGGGAAAAGCGGAGAGTTATTCAACAGCTCCCCAAAAATGCAGCCCACTGCCCTGAAACAAGCCAGAAGAGACACAGACACACCAGCTGAGTGTAGAATGGGCACTACTGCCATCTAGTGGACACTTGAGAAAAGACAAAGTTCACAAAATGACTTGTGAGTAGAGACACTCATTTGAATACGTTATTTATTGTACTATGAAATCTGACATTTAGTCACAGTTTAGTTTGAGTTGATTATTTTGGTACAATTCATCTCATTTAATTTTCAAAAAATGAAAACAAAGACACAAATGTAAACTATACATTTTACACCTACAGATTTAAGAATTGCATAATACATTGGATATTTTTAGAGTAATTATAATTATTTATCAATGGATAGAAACAGATAAAAATGTAAAAAAAAAAAACATGCTGATGCATTTTACACTCCTTATCAGTAACATTTTACTCAAGAATAATTTTTTAAATATAGGAAATTTCCTACCAGAGATCAACTCCTTCATCATATTTCCGGGCACCATACAAAAGTTCGGGTGATCTGTACCATCTGAAACACAGCACATTAAATATTTTTAGCCATTTAATCTATGCTTTAGCTGAAACTCACCACTAGGACCAGAGTAGCTCAATGCCGGCTTGACAGGAGTGGACTTTGAGATTTGTAACTTTCTAGATCTTTTTTATGCCCAAACATACACACTACACACTGACTAAAATTAAAAAAGTGAAAAAGCATAATAGGACCCCTTTAAGTAAACTATCACCTGGTGGCCACCTGGTGACTGTACAGACGATCTCCTTCATTGGAAAAGAGCCTGGCCAGACCGAAGTCAGCGATCTTCAGGTGACCCGTCGAGCTGATTAGAAGGTTTGCAGGCTTTAGATCCTGCACACAAAAACATGTAAAGCACATTAATAGGACAGATCACAGTGAAGGACAAATGTAATGACATGAGGAACACAGCCTCACCCGGTGCATGATGGAGTTCTCGTGGCAGAAAGCCACTCCTTTCAGCAGCATCATCATGTAACCTTTGACCTGGGATGCGGTGAGAGGACGCTGGGAATTCCGAATGACTTCTGACAGATCTGACAACATGTACTCAAACACCAGCACAAAGCCTGTGCCGTGAGGGAAGACATCCTTCAGCTTCACCACCTATAGAGGTGATCAAAACAGAAATAAAAATACATCTAGATCAAATGAGGAAAATATAAATAATAAAGGATTCCAGGTTATCCAAATCATCATAGCATGGAAGCCCATTTCTGCCACATGAAAAAAAAAATATTGCTTTGGTAAATCATAATGACATAAAAAAAAATCATAATTATGACTAAAGTTCTGACTTTTTGTCATAATTTTAACTTCAAACTCATAAATGACAGTCATGACTTAGCATGTCATGATTTAGACTTCTCATAATTGTCTTTTCATCTCATAAATGACTTAGTATGTCATAATATCAGCTTTTCATCTCATAATTTTTGCATTTTTTTCAGAATTTCGACTTCTCATAAATAATTTTTTACTATTTTAGATTTTTTTTTTTTACTTCTCAAATTATTTACTATGTCAATTTCGCCTTTTCATCTCATCATTTTAACTTTTCTGTCAATTTCCACTTTCATCAAATTTCTGGCACGAGTTTGCAAGTCATAATTAAGACTTCTCATAAGTATGTCTTTTCATCTTATAAATATGACAGTATATCATAACTTCGACTCTTCATCTCATAATTTTGACTTTTTGTCATCACTTCGACTCTCATTTCATAAATTTCATAATTTCAACTTTTCATCTCAGAATTATGACTGTCATAATTTTGATTTTTCATCTTGTAATTTTGCCTTTTTTATGTCGTAATTTCCATTTTTAATTTGGTCATAATTATGATTTTTTCCTTTTTTATAAAATCATTTTGACTTTATATCATAATTATGATTTAGTATTGCCTAACTTTGTCGTTTCACCTTATAATTATGACTTTTAATCTCATTTCATGTCATTTACCAAAGCGTTATGTTTATGTGGCGCAAATGGGCTTCCATATTCATAGAATGTGAGTTGCATAAGCAAAAGAGATCTATCTTTACTACACAAGTCTTCAGTGATCAGTATCTCTCACATATTGGTTGTCCTCAATCTCTTGCAGGGCTTTGATTTCTCGTAGGGCCTGGTTCGGAATACCATCTTCAAGTCTTCGCAGAGCAACTTTTTTCAAAGCCACCGTCTCTCCTGTCTGAACAGAAACAGATGAAGCAGAGCAGAAGCGTGCAGACAGCGACCTGTTCTTCAGCTTTTGTGAGCTATTGTCATTTACACAGGATCAATACAGATATCCCGAAAACAGTCCAGTCTTACCTCGATGTGTTTGGCTTTGAAAACAATCCCGTGAGCTCCTTCCCCAATCCTTCCCAGAATACTGTACTGATCCATTCCGTGTCTTTGTTTCCTATTCACGCACTGGCAAGTATTCAGCAAAGTAACTGTGCAAAACAAAACAAAATATTAGTATAAAACTGAAGGAAAACAATTGCTAGCAGGACGATTGTTTCAAAGAGATCATCTGTGGTAAAGATCCGACGATGCTCCGCTGCAGCGAATAGCAATTGCCATGGAGACCGTTTCTGTACGGCAAGCGAATGAAGACAAATGTATTTTTAAAACGACCACGTACTGATTTATTCTAGTCAACAACATAAATAAAAACGGACAAACAATATTTTTCTAACAAAAATGGAAAGATCATTCTACCTAATATTTTAATTATCAGTATAATTGTAGTTTGTTTTTTTTCAACGGCACTGGCATAAACAAAGATCTGTCAGGTGGCAACTGTTACTTTTCTCAGCGCTGTTCTGGACGGACCAATCATAATCGATTGCGCTTTCTAATATATATATATAATTATATATATATATTTTTTTTAAAATTTATATTAAAATAAATATATTTTTTAATTTACAGCAATTGATTGCTTAAACTGATCTACATGTAGGTGTCAGATACCAGCATTTGGAAAGTAACATTTAAATGATTATGATTTTGTAGCGTAGAAATGTCCCTAGGTTTATGGGTAATGTTATCAACCCACGAGTAAAAGCATTTTACCCTGGATATCCTATAACTTAATGGAAAGCATTTGTTTGTTTTTTCATATGCATACGTACATGCATTTTCATACATACACATATATAGTTAACTGTTTTCTAAATCCATGCTGTACACTTACGAGCCAAATAGACTTGTTAAAAGATGTTAAACATGTTAAGTTTGACCTACATTTGAGGGCAAATATGGTACATTTTCGACTCGCTTACAGGATTTAAAGAAAATATTCATGTTAAAATCCCAAAGCCATGTCTCTTCTTTTTCCTGATACAAATAATCTTTAATCTCTTGCTGGTCATCTATATTTCTTGTACATACCATTTCTCAGAAGACAAGCCCATCAGCAACACAAATGACAAAAATGCTGAAGTAAACAGCAGGCAAAACCAGACAAATGAACACCGAGACAGAATTCCATTACTTTTATATGTCAAGACACAAAAGCAATCAATAGATGACAACATGTAAAAACATTTTGTTACAGAGAATTATATAAAAAAGGCAAAGAGTTTTTCGTTTAACGTCTTGCTACGTGAAAGAACTAATTTACAACGGAGTTCAAACTCTGGCTAAGCCAACAATCCATCTGCAACGTTTTCCAACCACTAGAAACAGGAACAAACCGTTTCCAACTTCCATTCAAAAAAAGATTTCCACCAATTTAGCATTTACACAGGCCTGCATCCCTAAACAAGTCCAAACAGCCTGAAGCAGAGAATGAAAATGGTTCAAACTTTTGCTGCACAGCTTGAGAAGAATCCCAATTCGTATCTACCAACTCACAAAACCAAGCATATAAAAGTAACGTGAGATTCAGAAAAGTAAATGTACAGGAACTATAGACTAATGACAAGGGGGAAATAAAAATAAAAGCATCTTTTTCTGTAGTAGGCTTCTATAAATGCCAAAAGATAAAAAGCTGGGTGGGGGAAAAAAAGGTGGAGAAAGCCTCAAAAGTGGGTCATTGATCAGAACAAATACATACATTTTACACTACAATTCTCAAAATAAAGGTCAAATCATTCATGAACACGGGAAACACTGTGGCCCGCATGTCAAATCCACAAGCATGGAGACTACAGGGATGAGCAGTTAACATGTTGAGGAGAGGTGTGAGGTTTAAAACTGCGCCCTGAAGCACAAATACACGACAAGGAAAGACTTTTCTTATTTAAAAAAAAAAAATAATAATAATAATTACAAAAATAAATTTTTTTTCCACCTACATGGATTGAAGTCCTTTTCGTCTTCAGCGTTGCGGTCCACAAATTGTCCCTCACAGCAAATGTATGAACACACAGTGATGCAAAACAGGCTACTGAACTCGAAGTGAATGAATAATTACAGATTCTCCGAATGAAGAATGAGTCTTTTCCCTCAGAAGCATCACTAAGTGCTGTTCGTTTTCATTTTATTTCGATGCATTTCCCTGCTTCGTTTCGCTGTCCACACTCTCTCCTCCGTATCTCCGTCTCCTTTCAGCACGTGGTTGAAATATAGATTTGCCCAAATAATGAAAACATCAACAAACTGACAAGAGAGCAAAGTTATTTTTCTGTTATCTATTGCTTGTATTGAGATAAGCTTAAAAATAAATGAATATCAAGGGAGGAAAACAAAGAATAAAGTATCTGATAACACAGTTATAACTAGACTGAACGCTGTTGTTGGAATCTCTTTACACAAAATTGTCTGGAAAAGCAAATGCATGTGCTTCTGAGGAGTAATAATAATAAGTAATAAGGCGTCCATGGCACCAAAATGTCCAGTGATGGGAGCGGATTTCCCAAAAATGGAAACAAAGGTTTTCCTTTTTTTTTTTTTAACGTTTTCCTATTTTTGGCTGCAGTTTCCTTCCATTTTGTTTCATATGATGGAATGGGGTGAGAAGTGGAAGCAGGAAGGTCTTTCAGCAGGAGGTGGAGTTCAGTCATGGTTCAGCTCATAAACAGGGCGGGGTCAGGGGTCATGCGAGCTCTCACTGGTCAGGTCTGGCCTTCTTTGGACCAGCGCCTTTCCTAAAAGGGCAAAGAAACGTCCAGTTTCAGTAAAACACATTAGGTCTGGTATACAGGTCCGCATTATTCATTTTGAGAGGTATAAGGGCAACATACTCACATATCAGGGGACGAGACCGGCCTTTTTGCACCAGGTTTGGCCGCAGAGCCATCTTTACTGGTTTCTGCAAACATATTTAAAAAATAAATAAAACGATTTCATTCCACAGCTTTAAGATGTTTAAATGCACCCTTTTCATATTTTCAGAGTTCTAACAAGTCATAATCATATTTGGTTAAACTTGGTGAACAGAAACAACAAATATAATTTTTGCTTCACATTTGCTCCAATAGCAAAAGTAGAAATCCACAATAACATTAGTATTAGCATAGTGTATTTAAATGTATTGCCATATCAGATTTACATGGCAGATATAGATTCAACATTCCAAAAACATTATACTAAAATAAAATGTAATTGAAAAAAATGTAATACATATTTTTTAAATAAAATATAAATTGAATAAAACGATAATAAAATAAAAATTACATTTTTATAAAATTTTACAAAAAAATTACTAGATATATCTACATATATTTATATATGTACACAAACACACTATATATATATATATATATATATATATTAGGGATGCTCCGATCGATCGGCCGGAGATCGGTATCGGCCGATAATCACATTTTATGACTCGATCGGTACTCACTAACTTGGCCAATCTGAAATGCTATGACATTTCGAGAAACAATGAAAAATTCGCTATTTGTCGTGTATGTTTTGCATGATGATATGATAAATAGATGGTTCATTTTTAACAGCAGATTCGGTGACGTTAAGAGCTGATCTGCGCCTCACTGCACATGTTTGCAGCGCGTTACGGCTCCCGGAGCTGATCGCGGCCGCTCTAGTCAGTGCTTGTGTTCATCAGCCAGCCACGGCACGTTTCTGAAGCGGCTCTCCGTGCTG